TTGCGATGTATGGGTGATGTTTTTTTGACAGTATATAACTTTACGGACAGCTAGGAATCATACACTCTTTCAGTTTTTCTAAGTTATAACCGAAAGAGACTGCCTTTGAAGAATAAAAATATTTAGCATACATACCCAGATCTGTGAGGCTATAAAGCCAGCCATTTCTCTTTTCCTGCGGGATAAGTGCTTAATTAGGCCTCGTTTCTTTTGCAATTGTCCTTCAGCGTCGTCTAACAGAGCACAGCTTAAAAACAGCCCTAAAGCAATGGAAATAAAGAGACGTTTGGAATCCATCGTTATTGTTCTTGGCTTGTGATGTAATAAGCAATCAGTCTACAGTAACCTGTGGAACCAAGTGTGGTAAATTAATGTTAGATGGTCAAATCAAATCAAATCAAATCAAAACGCTGGTTTATTGTCCCTTTTGCAGTCGGAAGACTGAATTGTAGGATACCTTACAAGCTGTGATATTAATAAAAGATTAATATTTAACACTAACAAAATCTGAGAGACGTTCAGTCCTTGTGGCCATGGGCCTGCTAGACCTCCCTGATCTTAGACACACTGGTAGATATAGGTACCTGTGAAGACGCATTTTTTTTAAAAATCATTCACTTTAAACTAACTACTGAATACTTTAGAAGCTTAAAAGCTTCTTTAATTTAGGTGCATCATAAAAGCGTGGGGAGAAATAAAACAACGATATAATGGAATCATGCCTTTATCTTACCGATCTTAATTCGAAGTTGATGTTGCACTCTTCTTCACAGAACACTCTCTGAACACGCGTGTAATTTAGCAATATATATATATCCTTTGCATCTTTTTGCAATTTGGGTTATTTCCAATGTATTATGGCTTATTTTCATTTTGGATGGATTTGATGAGAACAGATTGACACAGACATATATATCGGTATTAAGCTGTGTTAATAAACTAAACTCTTTCCTGTTCCTGTTAAAACAAAACACTTCATCAAAAAGTTCCTTTTGACCTTTTGTACCAAAAAAAAAAAACTACTATATTTGAAGTTTTCATTTTCAATTATTTAAAAATCATTAAGGCTATAATACCCCTTTTAATTGTTCCCGCAGATCCATCGACATTCGCAAAGCGTGGGGTTTAAACAGCCTTTTTTCCCTTCCCCCAACCTTTATTCTGGTTCATTCTCGCCTTTTCTTCATTCGATCCTTTCCTTGAAAGCCTTTCCACAGAATTATGAAACGTGACATTGAATTTTTTTGTGGTCACAGAAGGGCGGCTTTAACTAAGGTGGGGGGACTTATTTTACGACCTCGGACTCGACGCAGTTACTACAAGGCTTAATTGTTAACCAACATGACTACGGCGGCGGCGACAAAAACGTAACTTAAAAAGATAATTCTTGCTATTTCAAACTTCATCGCAGGCATCTTCTTCAATTTGTCAAATATTGGCAAATTTTTATAGAGTTGAATGCTGAAGACTGAATCTAAGTTCAGAACAAGAAATTAAAAGGTTGTCTGGCATGCTTTCCTGTCCTCTAAAAACGTGAAATAAGGAAGTCGTACCATATGGAAGTCGTGAAATAAGGAAGTCGTAACGACAATTAGGCAGGAAATACGTAACCTGAGATCAGGCGTTATTTTTTTTTTTTTTTCTTTGTTTCTTTGACTCGAGAGGGAAAAAAAAATGACGCCATCTTCCCGTGAGAGACATAAAGGGATAATAGGGAGAGGACATGATCTCAGGCTAGGAAATACGCAGCGAGTCTGGCTATGGCGGATGCTGGCAAGACCCATCATGGGTCTTGATGCTGGGTGTTGCTGCTGACTCCTGATGTACATTAACATAAACTGTGAACAGTTGTCTTTTACCTCTGTAAATTAAAGCTTTTGCAGCGATTGCCCCTCGTTGATGTATGATTTAAGTGTGAGGTTGGACTTAAAAAAGGACTTTTGCTGAAATTGTCTTTACAGGTTTCGCAAAGCGTTTGCGGTGATTGCCAGTAATGGCTTTTGCTGTGAACAGTTGTCTTTTACCTAGCAAAGCTTTCGCAGCGATTGCCCTGCCCTCGTTTGTGTATGATTTAAGTGTGGCGTTGGAATGAAAAAGGACTTTTGCTGAAATTGTCTTTACAGGTTTCGCAAAGCTTTTGCGGTGATTGCCAGTAATGGCTTTTGCTGTGAACAGTTGTCTTTTACCTCTGTAAAGCTTTCGCAGCGATTGCCCCTCGTTGATGTATGATTTAGGTGTGAGGTGGGACTTAAAAAAGGACTTTTGCTGAAATTGTCTTTACAGTTTTCGCAAAGCTTTTGCGGTGATTGCCAGTAATGACCTTTGGTGTGAACAGTTGTCTTTTATCCTGTGAAGCTTCCGCAACGATTGCTACTTTTGAACGATTACGGTCTTGGGCTGCATAGTAAGTAAATCCAAGTTGGCTAGTAATAATATGTAGTTATTATAGTAACGTAATAATTTAACGTTGTATTTTTAGATATGGAAAGCCATAACAAAGACTACATGGATCCCCATCTGAATATGAATATGAAAAAGGAAAGTGAAAGGTATGCCGGTGATTGAATGTATTTTTTAAATCAAGGTAAAAATACTGTTCGACCAACAATAAATTTGTATTTACTTTCGTTTTTTTGTTGCCCCTCCGATTGCTATCAGTGTATTAGATTGAATTGTTCTAAAATGAAATAAATAAACGATAAGAGTAATATACTAAAATCCTTCCCAAGATGTGAGGTTAGTTTGCCTAATGCCCAACATTAAATATATTCTAACCATTGGGTATCCTTTTAAACAATTTGATTTGACATGGGAGAGAAGTTAGAGGAACACTCAGCGTTTCTCTTAATAAGTCCCTCAAGACTAAGATAAAACAGGACAGAGACGGAGAAATAGATAGACTGATAACACCACAGAAATGATGTAGGTGGTGATGGAAAGGACACTGAGAGTAGCTGAATGAAGGTTCCAAAGCTTGGGATAAGTAATAAGTACATTACATTCTTTTTCAGCATATCAAAAAGACTCACAAAAACAAGCAAATTGCTCATCACCAGGGAAGTGAAAACGATGAGATACGTCTGGAAACCTATTCCTTGGAAAGAACTTAACTCGACACTATTTGTATTCTCCAGGACACCACTTAAAGCTTTTGTTGAGTTAAATTTTTTCGTATCACCTGGATAAAATGGCTCAATTTATTTTCCTGGCTGGCTAAATGTCGGTTGGCAAAAAAGGGAAGAAAGAGACATTCCTGGCTAGGTGTTGCGGAATTCTTTTAACCCCGCCCCGCTGGTTCAAACAAATCAAGAGGACTGTATCTTTCGATGTAACAACACGATTTAATGCAATCCAACAATCTATTGCGATGTACAATTCTCACATACTCAACGCTCGTAACACAACGATCAACGTAACTAAATGATCAACGATCAACGAATCGATCAACTAAAACATTCTAAGTATACAGTGGTTTTTCTACTATCCTTGCGTAAGGCAGTATTTTTACATTAATCACATGTACAGTAAAAGTTCCCATTGTAATGTATCTTAATTAAGTGTCTATTACAAAATCGCACGTTCTTTCACCTTATTTAGCCTAAGAAAATGCATGCAGTTACATCATTTTATATCGTAAATATACTCGGACTTTGACTACATTATTGTGAAATCTAATGTCACGAAATCTAACTTCTTTGCACTACAAATGTCGATTTCTAATTAATATTTAATCACAGAATAATAAAGTTAAGCATCACCTATTTCTTTCCGACATGTCTTTTTGGTAAAAATCCTGGCTGGGAAAAGCCCTTAAGGTAAAGATCCTGACTGGATATTGTAATTTAAAATCTAGCTTTAGCTGGCCGGCTTTGGGGAGCGGATATAATTTTGCCAGAGAAGTTAATAATCAACCAAAAAACAATTAGTGACTGTTAAAATATTATTGGGAGCGATATCCAATCACTTTTGAAATTTTTCTCGCTGGGTACTCCTGTTGACTTGTGATGAGGGAAAGATGATCAGCATCGCCCGGCTCCTAACGGTTAGGAGATGCTGTACTGTGTAGTTTAAACTTGCGATTCAACAAAGTGTCTGATCTGTTCCTGGGGGTTTGTACCTCCGTCTCAGTCTAACAAATGAGTAAATAATTAAATAAATAAATAGATAAATAAATAATTAAATGAACAATGAAATGTAGATAAACACCTCTCTAATAACCAGCAACCGCTTTTTCACTTTCCCCGATCTACATAATTCCTCACATCTTCCTCAGCATCATTCATGCAATAATTACTAAGAAGTAGTACTATTAAACGCTCGTTCAATGATACAAGTATGAAGAACAGTCAATTATCCTTACTTTGATTAACTAGAATACTTTAAATACAGTTATGGAATGAATCACACAAGTGTGGCCAGATGAATGAACCTAAAAAATTTTGCATTTTGCGATGTATGGGTGATGTTTTTTTGACAGTATATAACTTTACGGACAGCTAGGAATCATACACTCTTTCAGTTTTTCTAAGTTATAACCGAAAGAGACTGCCTTTGAAGAATAAAAATATTTAGCATAAATACCCAGATCTGTGAGACTATAAAGCCAGCCATTTCTCTTTTCCTGCGGGATAAGTGATTAATTAGGCCTCGTTTCTTTTGCAATTGTCCTTCAGCGTCGTCTAACAGAGCACAGCTTAAAAACAGCCATAAAGCAATGGAAATAAAGAGACGTTTGGAATCCATCGTTATTGTTCTTGGCTTGTGATGTAATAAGCAATCAGTCTACAGTAACCTGTGGAACCAAGTGTGGTAAATTAATGTTAGATGGTCAAATCAAATCAAATCAAATCAAAACGCTGGTTTATTGTTCCTTTTGCAGTCGGAAGACTGAATTGTGATATATATACTAATTCGGTACGTTTAATTTATTGACAAGATTAATATTTAACACTAACAAAATCTGAGAGACGTTCAATCCTTGTGGCCATGGGCCTGCTAGACCTCCCTGATCTTAGACACACACTGGTAGATATAGGTACCTCTCTGTTGTGTATTAATGGGTATAAACCGCTGTGAAGACGCATTTTTACGGCCGAAATGGTGGTAAGGTCATTCGTACCTAATTGCATGATCACTACATTGGGAGCGAACTCCTCTACTATACCTAAATCGTACTCCCTAGTTGTAGAAACCGTTCTACCTCCAATCCCATGCCATCTTATGAGCAGATCGCCATCTAGACTTAAATTTTTCGCAATGCGCGCATTAAAATTGCGGCAAAGAAAATCGTGCACACGGCGAATGAAAGAGTGGCCCAGAATTAAAACACGGATTGGCGGCATGAGGAAAAGAGAATATAATCAAAGGAAGTACTTGCCTGAAAACATTTTGCTCGAGATCTGACCGAGTTGATGACGAGGGAGAGAAGGACGAATTACTGGGAAAATATCTCGATATACCTACTTAACCCTGACACCGCCCTATAACCTAATTGGCTAGATTTGCAGTACCTGGTACAGCCTGACCTAGTGAGTTATCATGTGAGTATCATGCTTTGCCATAAATTACATTATGTCTGCCATAATGTCTAGTTTTAACAAAATCATTCACTTTAAACTAAATACTGAATACTTTAGAAGCTTAAAATCTTCTTTAATTTAGGTGTATCATAAATGCGTGGGGAGAAATAAAACAACGATATAATGGAATCATGCCTTTATCTTACCTTTTAATTCGAAGTTGATGTTGCACTCTTCTTCACAGAACACTCTCTGAACACGCGTGTAATTTACCAATATATATCCTTTGTATCTTTTTGCAATTTGGGTTATTTCCGATATGCTTGGCTTATTTCCTAATTGGACGGATTTGATGGGAACAGATTGACACAGACATGTATATTGGTATTAATAAACTAAACTCTTTCCTGTTCCTGGTAAAACAAAACTCTTAATCAAGGAGAAGTTCCTTTTTACCTTTTGCACAACATTTTAATGAGCAAATGGCACTTAATTCAAGATCAACCACTACCGAGAGAAATATACAACGAGCCTCCCATCATTTCATATAAAAGAGCAAAATCGCTGGGAGATATCCTCGTTGGAGCAAAACTATAAGGTCACGTATCACACTATCACGAGCTTATGAGTCGTGTTTGGCTTGCCAACACCTTCCACTTCGCAATCGACCCCATGTTGGAATTGGAACCGCAAGTCACGTTTCAATGCGCTTAGTACTTGTGGGTGACAGCTTTATCCCCAAGGGTCCTTGGGAGCTATTCTGATTGGTCCAAGCGCACCGACCCGTTTTTGGGGTCGGTAAAATTGGCGCCAATCAAGTATGAAAAGTCTTTCGTACCGCGCCATATGAAATCCGACGAAGGACTTTTTTGAAAGTCTAGGAGGCTCCCTAGTCGTTGATGGAAAGCGTGGGTGCTATAGAGATGCCAAAAAGTTACCGAAGAAACGCTGACGAAATGCGTAACACTATATGTCAAAAGCAGATGCCAAAAACCAAATGCTATGCCAAAAATAACACCAGCCAAAAATCAAATTAACAATTGTAAACGTGATCTATCAAGTATATCAACACACAGAAAGTCATGAAATATAAGAAGAAATTAACCTCTATCCAGTGGATAACACAATTGGTTTTCCCAATACTTATCCGATTAATTATCCAGTGGATAGCGCTGTTATCGGTTTGAAACAACTAGCCCAGAGGTTTTATTTCTGGCGTGAAGGAGATCGGCGGATGCGGATCAGTCAGGCCAACGTCTAACGCGCAGGAAGAGTCTCTTACACCAAGGGTATATGTTTCAGGAAATGTATAGGAATATCGAAGTCGTTTATTTATTGTATAGTCAAGCCTGTGTAAAACAGCCACCCTTTGCTGAGGAAGGCAACTGAAAATTTTGGGAAGTTGTCCGGTGACCGTAATATACAGTGACCGCTTATTCAGGGCCGTCACATACAGGTTTGACTGTATGCAGGGATGAACATTTACCTATAAGATCAAAATAAACTTTTTTTGGCCTGAAATGTTGCGCATTGTCTCAGTTCTTGCAGCTGAAAAAGGTACATTGGACCCAGAAACATTCAACGAACGTCATATCTATAAATAAGAGACTCTCCACTAGGGACCTTTTTAACTTCAACTGTGTAGTTTAAACTTGCGATTCAACAAAGTGTCTGATCTGTTCCTGGGGGTTTGTACCTCCGTCTCAGTCTAACAAATGAATAAATAAATAAATAAATAAATAAATAAATAAATAAATAAATAGATAAATAAATAATGAAATGAACGATGAAATGTAGATAAACACCTCTCTAATAACCAGCAACCGCTTTTTAACCTTCCCCGATCTGCATAATTCCTCACATCTTCCTCAGCATCATTCATGCAATATTACTAAGAACTGGTACTATTAAACGCTCGTTCAATGATACAAGTATGAGGAATAGTCAATTATCCTTACTTGATTAACTAGAATACTTTAAATACAGTTATGGAATGAATCACACAAGTGTGGCCACACAAATGAACCTCAAAATTCTGCATTTTGCGATGTATGGGCGATGTTTTTTTGACCGACTGACACAGACATATATATTGGTATTAATAAACTAAACTCTTTCCTGTTCCTGTTAAAACAAAACTCTTAATCAAGGAGACGTTCCTTTTGACCTTTTGCACCAAAAATACTATATTTGAAGTTTTCATTTTCAATTTTTTAAAAACCCTTAATGCTATAATACCCGTTTTAATTGTTCCCGCAGATCGATCGACATTCGCAAAGCGTGGGGTTTAAACAGCCTTTTTTCCCTTCCCCCAACCTTTATTCTGGTTCATTCTCGCCTTTTCTTCATTCGATCCTTTCCTTGAAAGCCTTTTCACAGAATTATGAAACGTGACATTGAATTTTTTTGTGGTCACAGAAGAGCGGCTTTAACTAAACTGGGGGACTTATTTTACGACCTCGGACTCGACGCAATTACTACAAGGCTTAATTGTTAACCAACATGACTACGGCGGCGGCGACAAAAACGTAACTTAAAAAGTGAATTCTTGCTATTTCAAACTTCATCACAGGCAACTACTTCAATTTGTCAAATATTGGCAAATTTTTATAGAGTTGAATTCTGAAGACTGAATCTAAGTTCAGAACAAGAAATTAAAAGGTTGTCTGGCATGCTTTCCTGTCCTCTAAAAACGCGAAATAAGGAAGTCGTGAAATAAGGAAGTCGTAACGACAATTAGGCAGGAAATACGTAACCTGAGATCAGGCGTTTTTTTTTTTTTTTTTTGCTTCTTTGTTTCTTTGGCTTGGAGGGAAAAAAAATAACGCCATCTTCCCGCGAGAGACATAAAGGGATAATAGGGAGACGGCATGATCTCAGGCTAGGAAATACGCAGCGAGTCTGGCTATGGCGGATGCTGGCAAGACCCATCATGGGTCTTGATGCTGGGTGTTGCTGCTGACTCCTGATGTACATTACTATGAACTAGTGATATGATGACACTTTCTGAATTTCTTTTTATTGCATATAGCTTTTTATTATTGAAAAGGTTATATTATATTTTAGCGTCCCCAATAAGCTATTTGCTATTTATAGTTATCGGCGTTATAAGCAATGATGCATGCGTTACTGACCAAGCGTGAGGTCAATATTATTGCTGAGTATCGTCCCGGGGGGGGGGGGGTACTTTAGGAATTTCTGGGTGGGGATGTGCCGCTGGGACCCTGGGACCCTTAACCTATACCAGAGCTAGTTCAGCTGAATTTTGCTACCCTATACTAGAGTAAACTCCCCAAATCCCCTATCCTAGAGTAGCTGTTTCCCTTGTCTAGATAAAATCTTCAACCAACTGATCAGTTTCCTGAAAAATGATACCCTATGCTAGACCCAAACGCTCTGATTTATATACCCTATCCTAGAGTAAACTGCTTGAAAACCATACCCTTCACAGCGGCACATACCTATATAGCCCATATATGGCAGTACCCCCCCCGGGAGTATCGTTAAGTTCATATTCTGATTATTTTACGCTAATCGAGGACAACAGGAGCGAAAAAGAAGAAAGAGACCAATATCCAGTCATCTTGATGCTAACTGAACCAGCCATGTGACAAATATTGGGGACTTTAAGCAACGTCTTCGGAAGCGTCTAGTGCTGTGAGCAGAGGTAATTGTTTCTTCTCCACGCGTCAATGCCTCACGACAACGGTAAAAAAAATGGCTTTTTAATAATAAAACAAGAACTCGTGCTCTTCCAGTCTTTTTTGCGATTATTCCAAATCACTTCCTTTGCCAAATGTAGGTGAAGAAAAAAGAGAAAAAAATTCCGTCGTCAACACTGGTCAATTGTCTACGCCCACTGTCGCGTAATCATTACCTGCGTACGCGCGTAAAATGTACATGCGTAAACTTCGCTCAACTTTTACATTTACGCGCTAAAAAAAAATTACCTTCATACATTTTAGGGTTGATTTCCAGTGTCGCGTAATTTTTACGCGATGCGTACGTGCGTAAAAAGCAATCCGACGACGGCGACGGCTACGGGAACGCCACAAAATTAATTAGCAAAACAACAATTTTGCACGTGCATCACGCCTTTTCTTTGTACATTTCTTTGCCGTCACTGCACGACTTCGACGTGAAAATGCTTAATTTCACGATGTACAGAGGAAGTACACAAGCGACGACGAGATTTCCTCTCTCTTTCTGAACTTGGATATGGTTCTTAGGAATTCAACTTTAGGAGGATTCGCCTACATTTGACAAAGTTAGTGACTTAGAGTAATCGCGATGAAAATTGAAAGAACGCGAATTCACTTTTTCAGCGATGTTTTCACCGCTGTCGCCGTCCTCGGATCTTAAGGTCTCTAGTTTACGGCGACGACGGCGACGGCAACTAGACTGACGTCAAAACAGCAATAGGTTGAAACAACAAGTTTGCACGTGCATCACGCTTTTTTGTACATTTCTTGACTACGATCGCGACATGAAAAGTTTTCCTCGCGAGAGCGAGAGAGAGAGAGTTCTCTCCCCCTTCCCCCCATAGGCGTACGGGCCGCGGGGGCGAGGGGGGCTGCAGCCCCCCCAAATTTTGGGCAACTCAGAATTTTTGGGCAGCAAGAGAAAATTTGGGCAAAGCCAGCTTTTAAAGACGTTTCCATGTTTTTTTATTAGTGTTTTGAAGAGATAAATATTTTCTATTTTAACCTGAAGTCGGCGTAATCCAGTTACATTCACACGAGACAGTGGTTGCCAAGCACGAGATGAGTTTCTGGTTATAAGCCAGGGTATCATATGCTAATTTTTTTTTATCGTTAGGCGCTTCACTGCAATGGGCTATTTCCAATCGTGAATTGATTACAATAAACTTCCGCCTAACTTCATTTCTAGAATCA